TACACTATTGAAAGAACCTGCAAAAAACAAGGGCGGTATCACGTTTCTGCTAGGTATGAAAGTGCATACAGACAGCAATCATGGCAGAGAAGCACCCACACAAAACTTTCAGAGACAAGAGGAGCAGCTCAGACGTAGCTAACGTATGGCAGATGAGACTAGGAAAATTTTCTTCTGAGGAAGAGTGGTGAGGCAGTGGCACAGGCTGCCCAGGGAGGTGGTGCAGTCACCGTCCCTGGAGGTGTTCAGGAGCCGTGTGGATGTGGCACTGAGGGATGTGGGCAGTGGGCATGGTGGGGGTGGGCTGATGGTTGGATGAGGTCATCTTTTCTAGAGGTCTTTTCCAGCCTTAATGACTTTAAGATTCTACGTTGGTGCAAGATAACATGGGGCAGAGCTTAACAGATGTATTTGTGGGCTCCCCTCCTTTCAGAATGAGGACTTTGCCCAAATCAGCAGCTCCACTGGTGCTACACAGTATTCTTGAGCTTCTGTGGAGGTGCTGAGGAGTGGCTTAGCTGGTTTCATGCTAGCAAACATCTAGGACTTATCTTTCCTTACGCTCATCCAGTCAGCAGCCTGAGTTCAACAAGAAATTCTTGAGCATGTGTAAAAATTATGCTGGTAATTGTTTTTAAGTGATTTCTCTAGAGGTAGCAAAGAGGTAAAAAAGTCTAAACGCTCACCTTAAGCACATGCCTTTTTCTCTATTAAGTTTCCTCTAGTGCTCTTCGTGTGATAATTACTGTTTCTAAACTGCTAATTAAGCTTCTGAAGACAGAAATGCTTGATTGTAGTGAGTTTCAAAACACTGGTGCACTGGGAGAAGGATTTTATCCTTGAACTCCACCTGAAGTTCAGCACTTCAGAGTTGTTATACAGCATCATTTGATCAATCCTACACGTTTTTCAAAACCATCTTTCCAAACCCATTTCTGACTAGAAATGATTTTGTATCATGCAAGGCTGTGATTTGTAAGGAGAACGATCATGGCAGTGCCTTAGTTCTCATCTTTTCATAGGAAGGCTTGGGTTGGAAGAGATCTCAAAGACCACCTAAATCCAACCCCCTGCTGCAGGCAGGATTGCCAACCACTAGATCAGACACTAAATAAGGCTGCCCAGAGTCCCATCCAATTTGTCCTTGAGCACCTCCAGGGATGGGGCACCACAGCTTCTCTGGGCAGCTGTGCCAGCACCTCACTGCCCTCTGAGGAAAGAATTTCCTCCTAATATCTAATCTACATTTCTCCTCTTTTGTTACTCTTTGCTATGTATCTGTCCACTTTTGAAATCTCTGCCTGAAAACATGAAATTGTGTTTGGTTCCAGAAGACCCTCATCTCATCCCACAGCAGTTAATACCATCTTGGAATCATGCTCCCTTTTTCCAGCCTTCTAAAAATGTTCTCCAAAATGCTGGGAGTAGTGCAAAGCAGATAGAGTAGCAGAAAAGGTGAGCACATCTTCCCACTTTTCCTGTTGTCAGATGGGCCTCAGTCATTTGTCCAAAGGACAGCATTTGGGAGGTAATAATTATGGCTGAGAAATTTGAGAAAGGCACAAAGCACTTACCCAACACAGACATAAAAAACGAACAATTACACTAATTCCATAAGCTTGTTACGTGCAAATCTGTACTGAATTCACATGTACTATGCTGATCTGCAAGTACTGGGCAATTGTACCCAATCATTTTGGTAATGCTGAAATATGACATGCAAGGGAAGGAATCTGAAAGGGAAACGAATGCAAAGGGAAGGAAAACAGAAGAAAAAAAATACTATCAGGAGCTTTTCCTGAGACAGTCTGGTATTGTGATCGGAAATGCTTAATTAAAATTAAGAACCTGGAGATGAGTTGCTGGGGTCTACCCACCAGATATGAAACTCATTTTTAAAGGATAAATCCTTATCCTTTACTGCTGTCTGCTGCTGTCTGATGGCAAAGCTGGCTTATTCTTTCAAGGAGTTATACAGCAACAACCCGCCATCTGTGACCAGGCAGGACACAGGGAGCTGATGTGATCACTTTGTCATGAAGTTGTGCACCTGGTCTGAGTTTTACTTGCTGCAGCTAACACATAACTGAAATCCCCTTTTATTCAGGCTGTTACACAAACTAAGGGATACATGCTGCAGGGTAGTTAAAAACATAAAGAATTGGTTTTCTTTGCTGATGATTAGATTCAGGCATGTATTTTTGAAATATTTGTGCACTGATAAACACAACTGGCTTTTGGCTGATCTGACGCAGTGCTTGGGGGGGTTGGGTTGTCAGCGGAGTACAATGGCTGAACCTTTTAAAAAAAAAATCATGATATTTTTGTGTCAGCCTTCCCGTCCAAGCCGCCAACAGCAGGAAGCCCTTTATGAGCAGAAACACCTGTGGATTTTTCTCATTTTTGTGCGCATACCTCAGTGTCCCAAAGTGCATTCCTTGACTCGTGACTCCTTGCACAAGGTCAGACTAGGCCCTATTGTTCTGTGAGACCATGGGGCAAACGTTTGGCCTCCGGGCCCCGTCGATGGGAATTCTTGCACAGGGTTAATTACAGCAGCATTTTAAATGGTTATCAAAAATCACTTTTGAAAAACACTTTGGAGATTACAGTTCAGGTCTTATCACAGAGCAACTTCAATAGTGAGCAGTAGGGTAGGGTTGGCCTGGGGCTTGCTGTGCCCTCAGCTCACGCCTTGTTGTTGGGAGCAGGGCGGGCACCCCTGGTCACACCTGGAGAGGTCCTATTTTGTTGTCACTACCTCAGACGGTATCTCACACGCACATCACGTTCCGTGCATTGACGCTGCCTTTGTGGTTCCAAGCATGGTCTAACTATCGATCCCAGCAGCGGAAAAGATAAAGAACAAAACAAAACTGGGAGCTTTCATTTACGAGGTTGGAGAGCTACGCCAAGCTTCCCGGTGCTCGGAGGGCGGGGACGTCCAGCGACCCAGCTCCTCACCCCCCGACGCCCGCGGAGGAGAAGCCCTGCCCCGGGGCGGACAAAGGCGGGGAGGCGGGGAAGCGTCAGGGGCCGGGCCGCGACGGGGGGGCCCCGCCGCCACCACCCACGGCGCCGCGGGTCCAGCCTGGGGGCGGCCCCCGCTCGGCGGGGGGCAGCGGGCCCGGCCCGACGACGCCGCCCGCCCGCCCGCCGCCCCCGGCCCGCCTCCGCGCCGCGACGGGGCGGGCGGCGGCTTCGCGCCCGCTGCCGGCATGGAGGCAGCGGGGCGGCGCGGACGGGCGCGGGGGGTGCCGCTGCCCACCCTCCTCCTCCTCCTCCTCCTTCTTCTCGCAGGTCAGCGGGACCGGGGCGCTGGGGGAGCGGCGGGGCTGGGGGCGATGCGGGGCCCCGCCGGAGGGCCGCCAGGTGCCCGTCCGAGATGCGGGCGGGGGCAGTGCGGAGGGAGCTGCCGTGCCGGGAGGTGCTGGGGTCTTTCCCCCGCCCCAAGGCCTCTCGTGGCTGGACTGGCTGCAGTGTGCGGGAGATTTGGGAGAGACGGCCCGTGTAACCCGATGAGCACAGGGGCTGCTGTGGCACCCCGAGCGCTGCCCAACTTCAGCACTTGCAGTAACTTCCCAAGAAGGAGGGATCCTCGTTGCTGATAGAGCGCGGGCTGCTTGAATTAAGAGAGGTGTTTCATCATCCCTCTCTCGTGCAGTGCTTAAAGCCCTCTTGGATCGCAAAGGCGTTGGGTCGCTTTCCTGTCCAGCCGCTCTGCTAGCCTGCAGACCGGTGGGGCTGTCTGTCTTGCCGCGTTGTGGTGTGTAACCCTTCTCTAAAAGGGGTAACTGCTCAGGTTGAGAGTGCAGGCTCAGAGTTGCGTGTGGCCTCTCCTGCCCTCACCCTCACTTTGGCATTTGTCCCTGCTCCTGCACAGGTGATGGGATGCTGAAATCTGTTGTGTGAAATTAAGATGATGAGTATTAGGTTGGATCAGCAGCACAAGCAGCTTGCTGTGCAGCCACATGCAGAGAAGTCTTGCTACAAGGTGGGAGCTTATGGGCAGGAGGTGGTCAACAGAGGTTGCTACGATGAGGTTGGGTTGTCCAGACCCAAGCACACTGAAAGCTGGGCCAAAATGGATGACAGGCAGGAACACATCTTGTGAAGAATGGCTGAGAGAGCTGGCGTTGTTCAGCCTGGAGAAGGCTTGGGGAAACCTCATCGATCTCTACAGCAATCTGAAGGGAGGTTGTGGTGAGGTGGCGATCGGCCTCTTTTCCCACGTAATGATGATAGGACAAGAGGGAATGACCTTAAGTTGCACCAGTAGAGGTTCAGGTTGGGATTTAAGAACGATTTATTCTCAGCAAGAGCAGTGAGGCAGTGGCACAGGCTGCCCAGGGAGATGGTGGAGTCACTGTCCCTGGAGGTGTTCATGGTGTGGCACTGAGGGATGAGGTTAGTAGGCATAGTGGTTGGACAAGATGATCTTGGTGGTCTTTTCCAACCTTAATGATTTTGTGATTCTACAAATGCTAATGGAGTCATCAGAATGAGCGAGTTCTTGATGGTCAAGAAGGAGAGCATGGGATGAGACAGAAGAAATCTGTCATTTACCTTGGGGAACATGGCCTAGGGCTCTGCAACACCACAAAATGATTATCAAACAGGGGATTGAACTTTAAAATAAAAGAATATGTCCTTCCACATCCTTTAGTCGTAAAGAACTTGCTTACTATTGTTTCGCAGTTGGAGCTGTTCATCAGTCCCAAGGAGCATTGCTACTGAGGACACTTCTGGCTTCCTAGGCAAGAAGGCCTTTGGCATGGTGGCATGCAGAGCTGGCTGCAGTGGGGCTGGGCTGGGCTGGCAGAGCCCCAGCAAGATGGAGTTGGCACTCAATCTAGTATAGAGCAAGGGCAGCGCTGGCCGCTGGCTGGGGAACCCCAAGCAGCCCTAAGTGTCACTCTGGACCACTCCAGCAGGGACATGGGCCGGGAGCCAGTTCACAGACAGTTTCATTCTCCTCTCCTCCAACCCAGCAGTGCACTATGGGAGGCAGCTTGGCCTCAGGTAGTTCTCTGGAGTTTTCATTGGAATACAGAAAGATAATCCGTGGTGTCTTGACATTTTGAAGTGCTCTTTTTTTATTTTAAATGATTTAGTATGAGAAGCGATTGATACAGCCAGCTACGAAATATGCATACACAAAGCATCTAAATATGAACTTCTCACTGAAATTTGGAATGAGAGGGAATTGGCTGCCATTTGGATTATGGGGTCAGGCCAAGCCTCAAGTGAAGTCCTGTGATTGTATAAAACTGTTAGATTGCATTTTCTTTAAAGCTGTATTCTATGGCTTTTTGTTGTTGCTGCTGTTTGGCTGCATGAATGTTATTTTTATTCAGCAGAAGACTGTCTGGCTCAGTGTGATAATGACTGCAAGGCTTACTGCTGTGATGGGACCGCTCCCTACTGCTGTTCATATTATGCTTACATTGGGAATGTCCTTTCGTAAGTATGTTTGCTCTTCAGAACAAATGATGCTCACTGTTCATGAACTTGATGTAAATTCAGGTTGCTGGAAACTCTGTTTGGCAGTAAACACTGACAGGGTTTGGTTTGGGGGGTTTTAGTTGTTTCTTTCTTTGCTGCTAACAAACGTTGTTAATCCTGTAAGGTTTCACGTTGCATGCATTTTTTGAAGCATGCTTATACCAAAAAGCTTGCTGAGATTGAAGGTTATGTCCTTAACTTGTGTACGCTGCTGAAGCCTTTGGAAGCAAGCTGTACAGGTGCTGAGAACTTTGCTTCAAGCTCTTCAAATGAAGAGGACTGTATGTAGAAAACCTGTATTTTTTGTTGAAATGCTTTGTTACTATACCTGAGTTGAGTTGCTATTCAAATATCTTGCAATTTAGATCCTATTTGCTTTGATTACTGTTTTTTTTTTTTCTTATTATTGACTTGTTTGTTTTCACTAAATTGTGCTTTGGCTCTTGACGGGGTTTATTGAATAGGTTCAAGGTGAGGGTAATCTGATCCTTTAACACTGTGGTGTGAGTAGCATATTTCACAGTGTTTAGAAGAACCAATGCAGATGAAATGGAGTGGATATGAATATTTCCTGGCTAGAGGAAAGTATAGGTGTAATTCAATAAAAATCATAGTCTCCAGTGCAGGTGTTAGCTCTGCATTGGTGAGGAAGAAGAGAAATTCTGTGTGCTAGTCGACCTGACTCCAGGCTCTGGGCTTAAGTTAAAACCCAGAAGTATTTCATTTGTATGTGAGAACAAACCTAAACAAAAGACAAAATGTTCTTCAAGACAGGGCATCTAACCTTGTTTTTTGTCAACCTCATCAGTAATTTCTTCACCCATTAGCATGCAGTCTGTGTGTGAAAAGGATAAATGTGGCACTGTGGGACATAGTCATTGGGCATGGTGATTATGGGTTGACACTTGGACTAGATGATCTTAGTGGTCTTTTCCAATCTCAGTGATTCTATGACTCTGTGTATTTTTGGTTTGCATTCTTAGCTGAAACCAGAGAAGGAAGATGTGGTATATCAGGTGGATTGCTCAGTGCCTGGGAAGGAGTGAATTCAATAGTAGTTTTTTCTAGAAAGATACCTCTGTTGCAGGCTCTGTACCGGTGTCACTGTTGCCTTCAGCTTATTATGTAGCAGTTTAAAAGAGTAGGCATAGCGATGGCATTTTAATACAGAATTGATCCACAGCATTTAAAGTGGATCAGACAGTTCCTGGGCTAAAGTAAATAAAAAATGATGATGGAGCATCAGAATCCTTCATTCCTTTGGAAATAAGAAAGCATGTATTTAAGATTGATTACTTTTGGAGAATGACAAGTGATTTTATTTTCCTCTCACCTAGGAATATCTCCTTTACTTTTTTTTAATTTTCTTTTTTCCATCCAAGAGAGCTGTCCTGTTTAGATGCATGGGAAGATATGCTGCATTTGAATAACCCATTCCTGTTCATACATGGTTAGGAATGATAGATGCAGTAGCACGGTATATCACATTGTAAGAAGGAAGGTTCCCATAGAGCAGCAAAGCAAGTGGGTTTCCTCTCCCACTGCCCATGAACATCGTTGGCATTTGCCTAGTCTGATGTCAGAGCTATGCTGTGGGAGGTATTGATCAATGGATTCTTTGGAACGACTGCTGAGATATTCAAACCATGCTTAATACCAGGTTCACACCTACTTTTCTGTGCACTTATTTAACCAACATAAACAGCTGTTGAGTTAGAACTGAAATGCAAGTGACACTGGCATGTTAGAAAGGTTTGTATGTATCTGTATGCATGCTGAAGTGGCTTTTACAAACACTGTTTGTCAGTGTGACCTGAAGGATGTATTACATTATTCTCATTTTTTTATGGGTAAGTACTTCAATTCATAAGCTCTAAGACAAGTCAGAAGTCATTATTGCTGCTCTGACCTGACATTTTGGGTGATTGAGCCATTGTTTTTGCATATTTTTTTTTTTCTCACTAAAAGCTGCATGGGGTGTGCCTTATACAAACATGCATAATCTCGTTTTGAAAACTTCAGGCGTTAATGAATTTACCACCTGCCCTGCTAAATTCTTCTGTAGTTAATTTACTAACATGGCTGGAAAATTTTGCAGGAAAATGAAGGCTGAAATTCTTAAAGTCAGCTCTTAACTTATATGTGAGTTTGAAATGTGGCCCTAAATAGTCGTTGTGACAACTCTGAACCTTATTGGTAAGCTGATTGAACTCTGTCAGCCTCACATGTAAGATTTGCCCAGGGGTCAATTCTTTGGCCTGCCTTTGAGCTCACTCCATTATTTTCACTTCCTTCTGGAAATGTGGCAGTCAGAGCTAAGCACAGGGTTTTGATAGAAGTCTTTCTGGGATTATTTTTTTTCTGTAATTGAGCATCTAGGTTTCAGTATCTGTTTTGAAGCAAACGATCATCACTGAAAACAAAAATGAACTTACTAGTTTCTTTCACATCTAAATTTGTAAGTCATTGTCCTGAAAACATGTCTGGTACTTTAATCCTGCTAATTGTTCTTTGCTAGAGTCACCAGCTTTGCATCTAGTGGTATGGCAGAACAAGCGACTTTAGACTGTGATTTTAACTATGCTCCATAACAATGACCATCCGTTTTTGAACCATGTTGGTCTTTATTTTATGTGACATGTTTTCCTGAAGAAGTTTCATGTCACCTCACCCCCAAATGACAAACCTATGAATTTACATTGCAGGACACAATCCCTGGAATCTGGAAATCACTGCTAGTGACCCATCTTTTGGTGTCTTACTGTGAACAACTGAGTTTAGAAATCTTTTAGAGATTTAATCCAACAAGCTATGTGCCCTGATATTTCCACATCATTATGTTCTGTCAGTATCTTTGTTTTCCGGTATCATCATTTTTGATCTTGCTGCCTACACCAAAGAGTGGACTTTATCTGCATGGCTATTTTTAGAGTGCCTTTTTATTGTCTGAAATACTGTTAGTAGTCTTTAGTGTTTTATTGGCTCATCTGCTTCTTTAGAGATTCTCAGTGCTTCTTCGTTTGTTTATCACTAACTTTTCTCCTCTGCATGTCTTTCTGAGGTTCCTTTTCTTTATCTTCTCCAGGATGTTTTTTCTACATAACAGTAACTTTTCCTTGCAGTTTTGGAAGAACCTTTCAACACACAGTAGGTTCTTTTTTAAAAGAATTCCATGTTTTATTTTAAGCCTTTCACTCTTCTTTTTCTAGACTCGTATGCTTATGATTGTGCAAACAGAATAGAAACATCAGCCAATAATGTGTATCCTAATTTTAAAACAGAGTCACTGTGACTAGATCATGATCACTGATACTTAGGCAGCTTTTAGCTTTTAGGTGATTAATTCTCTCTCCACTTATTAAAATGAGATTCAACATTGAGATATTCCATGTAGGGTTCTGGAGTTTTCTATTTGAGGAAATCGTCATCTTTTTAGGGCACTGGGGAGTTTTTTTCTTTAGTCAGATGAGGTTTTCAGCAAACATCCTCCAGGCTGTGTGCATCTGTGATTAGCCTGTTTTTCTTTCTGCACATGAAGAACAGATGCAGAGTTATCAGCTCACTCTAGTATTAGGATTCCAAAGACTGTAAAAAGTCCCATAACACCACCTTTAGCCTGGACTTAGGTATAATCTGTAAGCTTTCAAGATCTGTGGTCTGTAAATTCATGAGCATTTCTAATGTAAAATAACACATCCTTCCTCCTCCTTCTCCCCCTGCTTTTCATGATACCCTTTCAGAGCAAGTTGTTAGAGCCTTAGTTTTCCAGCTGTATTTCCCTTCCCACTAGTTTTCATTAATTACAAACTGACATTATTTCATCTGATGCATATGCATTTCCTTCTGTTTATTCTCCTGTTTATGCATCTAGTGCCCAATAGTTAGTTCTTCTGAAAACGCTGTATTTCTTGGACAAATTGCAGATTTCTGTTTGGACATGGGCAGTGTAATAGAATTGTAATCAATAAAAGAAAAGTTGCAAGAACACTCGGATGGTCAGACTGTTCCTCCTGCCCAGCCTTTCACTTCTCATCAAAAGGTAGCACTAGGATGCCCTTTCCAGCCTTTGGCATCATCCTACTCTTGAAGTCAAGAAACACAAATTCCCCTCCTCCTCAGAAGCTAGTTTCAATGCCTGTAGAATCATGGGTGACTGACCTTTTATCAGTTTCCCCATGTTGCATCTGCTTCTGCAGCTTGCTGCTGGGCAAGGGACCGAGAGGACTGCAGTGTGTTTTCTCTCAAACCTGCTCCAGATTTGCCTCCAGCAAAAATATCTTCGTAACTAACTAACCAGCAGTGCTTCACCTTCTGTCACTCAGAGGAGTTGGAGACATCTGGTTACTGCCTTCAGCTCCAGCCTCAAACCCCAGCACTCCTCGAAGCTCCAAAGTCCAGAGGCTGCTCAGTGTAGCCAGGAAGGAAGGAAGGCAGACAGAAAGAATGGGAGGAAAGGAGGCAGAAAAAAACAGCGTAAAAATCACGTGTAGGCCTCAGCCTGCAAAGCTGAAAAAAACTGTGTATGGTGAGTGTGTCTAGGTGTGGCGTTTGATGTGAAATACTTCATATCCATTAGTACTGTGAGAAATGCAGATGACATCAGAGAATGACAGTTTTTTTTCATGCAAGAATGTCCCTTAAGTTGATTCACCTGATGTGGCAGTATGGAATGGAGGGTGGGAATGGAGGAGGAGCACACTGAAGGATAGAATTAACATTTTAGGTGTTAAGAGTAGCATAGCCTCTAAACTCTATAGTGAATTTAAAAAAATCAGGAAGCTTAGTATTCACTGTATATTCCAAATAATTAAAATTAGATACGTTCAAGCATCCCACAGTAAATATGTGAAGCAACATATGGGTTGGTGACTGTTCTATGTCTGCACTTCAGCTGTTTGATATTCTGCTTAAAATAAAAATGGGTTCCTCTTCATCAGTGCAGTGTTCAAAATTTCCTG